CCCATAAATAAGTTCAATTCTTCCCTTGTTATATCTATAGTGCTGAGGGGCTAGGTCCTTCCTCCGCTAAAAACGAAAACCTCGTAAGTTCCCTATGGGAATTTAAGGAACAACGTTCTGTGATTATTTACGTCAGAATGGACAAGACGATATTGATTTTAAAACCATTCGGTTAATAGGGACATATAACACCTCCAAGCCCCGTTATGTTTTTCCTTAGGTCTTTACTGGCATCCATATCCAGACGTGGGATGTGTCATAATAAAACCATGCCACATTTTGCACAACATTTAATTTACGTTACAGACTTTGTCAATTCCTTGTCACTTTTATTACCATTGAATTCCTATAGAGGCTGTGATGCATTCTCTAATTATGTTTTCTTTGAACAGAGGTCGTGTGCTACAGCCCAAGTAAAGGTTTTAAGTATCCCCAGCAGCACATCCCTTTTAGATCCTGAAATTCACGTAATTGAATCATGTGAAATTAAATACCAAATACAGACTTGCACACAGGAAAAAATGTAGCAATTTTTAGGGAGATTTGATTATGACATATGGCAGTGTGACCTGCATTCCATTTGTGGTCCACTAAATTGATACGTTAGCACCTGGTGAATAGAGGAAAGGAATGACCGATTCTGTGTGCTTCTGTTTCAATGGACATTGATTGGAATGATCTACGGGGAAAAAAAACAGGTTATTAAAATAAGTTTATAACATCTGGTATGGAAATATATCAAATTAGCCGACAGTAGATTGGTTCTTTAGATTCCTGTTAGTAAAACAATTATTCATTCTAAATAACAAGGATGCTCTCTTTACGCAATCAATAGCTATATAAGTGGTACCTAGTTATTATGATGTACTCTTTGCCCCTCCTTTCCCCAATGTAAGACATGAGTTATCCCACCCCAATTAAGATATTCTCTTGGTGTAATTCAAAATTAAGGAATAATTTTCTTCAATAATTTACTTTTGACAGCAAATTTTCACTTCAAAATTACCCTTGTGCTCAAATACTTCCTGTTTGAAGTATGGTTATGAGTTGAGATGCAACATTAGTCGACGTCTGTTTTTTCAACCCCTTCCCGTGGTTAAGGGGTGTTGTTTGCACCCTTTGAACCCATGTCCAATAGAAGTTGCCTTTAACCACCCACAATGATGGTAGAGGTTATCAAACAACACTTACCAGATTTCAGTCATAATAACTTTTCATTCCAGTATGAGTTTATCTGTATATCTGTCAAAGTAATGAAACCAGAGTTTCATTTCATGATTTTAAAGGCTGAGAATTTTCTATAAGATGTAATCATAAGTGTTTTTACTTAATAAACTGGAAGTCACGTTCTCCACCTCCAGTTCTTTGATGGAGGGTGTTTTTTTAAATTGATGTAAGTATTTAATGCTAGAATGGAAAAGTTTTAGGTTTTCCATGAAGAATGTATGTGTATTTGACAGCATCTCAATTTGATTTACCTTTGTACATCCTCTTGTTTGTTAGGACAAATACATTATGTTTCTGTCTGTAAGGTGTGTCATGCCAAAGGTGTGTCTTGTGGTCAGTATTATTTATGGGATGAGCAGGTCAGTTGGTATGTGTCATCTATATACACATGGTGGTTCTCTGTCTACATCGATGATCATAATGGTGTTTATTGTAAAGGTGGACAAATCAGGTACTGATGTCCCTTAGTAATAGCCATACTGTAAATGTGATATACATATATAGATATGACATACTTATACTCTAGTTATACTACCGACAGAAAACCACAAAAGTGTGACAAAGTCAGGACAAGAGTATGTCACTACAGGAAAAATTTGATCAGAAACAAGAGGGAAACAAAAAAATATGTTTATTATACAGGAGACAAACTTATTTTGATACAATTATTGACCCTAGTAAGAAGATAAGGAAGAGAACCATTGATTCTGTAGTAGTCCTTATGTTGATTTGACACAGTGATCTAGAATTTCAAGTGGAAGCAACTGTTTTTTTCCCCCTTATTGTTACCCTTCATAGTTTATCAGTTACAAACCATATCTTATTTCTGAGTGTTTTTTTTCAGACAATAAGAAATTCTTCCTTTATCAATTTAATCCTATAAATAAAGGCTTGAATTATTTTGTAAATTTGAAATTTATCTTGAAAATTTGTTTCCCAGTTGGTCAGTTTTCCCAAAACCTATCAACAAAAAGCCAGGCCCATTCCCCACCCCAGATAGTCCAGTAAACTGTCTATCAGTTAATTCTTTGCTGAACTTGGTATTGCGCAGGGGCTATATGAGAATGATAATATCCCATTACCACATAGGTATCTGGTCAGTAGGTCAGCAGAGTTATCTCCCTCTGTCAGCCTGCCCACTGAAGCCTTTGTGTAGTCATAATTGACAATGATTTGGGAAGATTTAGAGGACAAAGGTCGGCCAAGGTCACCTGGCGAGGATCAGATTCAGAGGCAGTGATGGGACTGGGGATGTTTATGGTGATTTAACACTCATGATTACTGCAATCTTTCCTATTGTCTGACATTAACTCCAGTCAAAGGGAGCTGTGGAATTATGTATGTTTAACAGTCTTAATGTGCTAGTCTGTCAGATATCATTAGAACTAGTTTGTATTAGCCATGGAGAACAGATAAGGATGAGTAGACCAGTACGAACTTGAGGGGAAGTGTCATTTGGTGTGGAGATTTAGTTTACCGTGATAAGATAGATACTTCCTGTCCCAGGCTCTGAACCCAAACACTGGCCAGTTGTCATGGTGATGGGGGTCACAGCAGTGAGGAAAGGATAGAGTTGCTATGTGAGAGCTATAATACTCAAAAATGGAATGGAGATTTTTGATAAAAGTTCTGAAATTTTCGGTTTGACATGATAATGATACTATGTACATAACAGCTGGGAGTCTGACCTGAAAACACTGGCTTCTGTAGATCTGTGTGAAAAAACACTGAACTGTACTGGAAGGAGATGTTAAAACACCCAATCTTACTGCTGTTTTAGCTATAAAAATTTAGGACATGAATGGGTCTCTGTTTGCCATATTTACACAAATAGATTTTGATAAATCGTTTAGTGCATTTTATTTTTTCATGATTTTTTTTTCATAAAATTAATTACTGGTAAAAATCTCTAAGATAGTGTCAGCAATGTTGTTCTTGTGTCAGATATCGATGTGTGTGAACGACAGATAAAGTGTTAAGATCTAAATTTTATACAAGGTACAGCTGTACTTAAGCATTGTACTGTGACATTCTTCACATTAACAAAATGCTTAAAAAGGACCCATAATGCACTTTCACTATTGATGCTGATTTTATCATACAGATATGTCTTTTATCGGAATAAGATGCAGATAGGAACTGATGTTTGTTGAATCTGATATTGAAGCACTTGTACTGGTACTGTCCAAAAACCTATGCACTCTGCATTGTCATTTTTATATTCAGAGACATTAAGATTAGTACATGAAGTCGTGTGCTGAACCATAAAAAATCACCACCAAAGAATTGGTTTTGAAGTATTGGACTGCAGGAAATCAACTGAAAAAGTATATTTGATATATCTGCTAGCCTACAATGCATTGACTATTTGGAATCCAATACTGTGAAATCTTTAATTTTGTGGAGTTTTATTTTCATTATTTTTTTGGGTACTCTTAATTAATAAATATATGTCCCCAAACCTCTTGGTAAGTATAAGTAAATTTTTTGCACTATTTTTATCCACAAAATCTAGTCTTTAAAAAAAAATTTTCCCCAAAAAGCTTGAAATTGAGTCCCCACAACAATATCTTATTATTCAGTATGACCATAAAGATGTATGCTGTTTTACATATCATGCCAATGATATTCAGTAAAGACATCTCCCATGAGAATTTTTTTTATTATTATTATTCTAGAACTTCTTGTAATACATTCTTTGTAGCATTTACACCTATCAATGCATCAGAGACAAGCTAATAGTAGTTAAGGAGTAACTATACCAAAAACAATATTTTCTAACTAAGAATACATCATACTGTCAGTTTGTATATGCACAATATTGGCAATACAATCCATCATCAATGTTGTTGTCGTCCTCGACGTCATCATCAACTTATCATTATCATCATCATCATCATAATCATCATTGTCGTCATCCTCCTGTTCCTCCCCCTCCTCCTCCCCCTCCTCCTCCTCATCATCATCCTCATCATCATCATCATCATTGTCATAGTCTTTTGCTGTACATTATTTGTTTGCAAATGAAAAATACCTGAACAAGTCTAGGTATAAAGTACAGTTAGATGGCAGTTTTATGATGTAGAACTTAATACAGCTTATCTGATTGGGGGAGACATAGTGACAGTGTTGCTAAAGCTTATCTGATTGGAGGAAACAACACTTATACCATACCTGCTCATAAATAATACTTAAACTATGGCATTGTTGTCATGTTTCATGTTTGTATGACATTTTAATCTTGGTCAGAAGTCCCCCAGGTCATACATGTGTTTCTGTTTTACAACTGTACAGACAATACAAATACTCGTTATCTGTGAAATCTGCTAACCAAAGGCACTCAGGTTAAGAGATATTTTTTAGCTTCTTTGTGTTATCTGTTGGAATTTAATGTTTTTAAAAAATCATAGAGCAGTACTTGAGATTTGGTTAATATCCATCTGTGTTGTATATGATTGTCTGCTGGTGAAGGAATAGGCATACTTTCTCCTGGGTCCTGGTGCCAGGATATAGCTGTGTTGGAGAGGTGTGTGTTTAGATATTGTATATATAAACAGGATCAAGATAATGCTCACAGGCTAAGTTAACACTTGATTTCTGTCCATACTGAGAAATCTGAAATATTTCTGAAGTTGGAATTTAAGTTATTCCTTCAACTCATGTATGTTTCAAGAGATGTTTTCTCAAGATGTTGATGTGTTTGAAACATTACGTCAATGTTAGCAATGGAGATTTTCACACATGATATAATTATAATGTTGCATTTATTACAGATCTCGAGGGAACCATAACTGGCTGAACCCTGATAAACGAGTACTGGAACATGACTTCCCTAAGAAAGTCAACATATTAGTTCTATTTTTTGCAGTTCGGTAAGTATTGTATCTCGAAAAGGGTAATTACATTGATTCCAATCTACCTAAATTCTTTCTTTGATGTGATTGGTGTGCATTTCATCAAACGAATATGAGAAAATTGTTTAAGATTTTATAATCGTACAGACAGATTATAGTGATGCGATAATCCATTGTAAGTGTTGGTATAGTAACAGGAATAAAACTACAGGATGTAAAATAGTTACACCAGACTCTGCGGGATTACCCGTATTTTGTGAAGTAGTTCAGTACCTGAGGGAGACTTAACAAGACCTGCAGCGTTACTTCTGATTCACAGTGTGGATATGAACATTGATTCATTTCACAACTGACTCACTCTCTCCTACGCCAGGTAGCACTTGTTAGAAAGAAATCAATTCAAATCTTAATAGATGATGAAAAATAATGTTGGAAATGCAGATTAATATTTAAAATTAACATTTCAGCAAGCCTTTTTTCATTTTTTGCTTTTCGATAGAAACTGTTCAGTTTATCTAGGATGTTCTTTGGTCTTGTGTTTTGTTTCTTTGTAGCTATAATAATGTAAACATTTTTATTTTTTGTAGAAATTATGTCGAAACCATTGCCAACCTTCGGGATGCAGCTACCGTAGAATTGTTTTACCTCAATGCGAAACAAGCAATATTCACAGTAAGTTAATAAAGCTGTCTTTCTGCGCCAAACCAGTATTCAGAATACTCGTGCTTTAGCAACAGACTGCAAGGCTTCAAATACAATGGTAGAATTTTAAGCTGCCAACTGAAATTAGACCTTGAAAATACCAAAGGTTGAACACACTATAGATCACTGAACAACTTTCTTATAAGATTTATAGTAGGCTGCATTTGTATGGTACATACATGTTCCTTCAAAGTTAATCCAGTCTGGGAATTGTAATTAGCTTGAAAATACCAAAGGTCTTTGTCGTAGAAGTTAATTGGTTGTGTGGTTCTTGCATTGGTCCACTGTTCTCAAAAATCTTTTTGTAGTTGACAATATGATAGAAATATGGTTCATGTTATTTGGTATCAAAAGCTATCTTTTATGTTAAGTTGTTTACTGGTATAAGGCAAAATCTTGAAGAATAAAATTTTTGATTTGTTTCTTTTTTTTTTTTTTTTTTTAAATAATAATTCTAAATCAGAATCGTGACGTTAGCATCTCTATTTCACAATATGATTAATTAGGATACTTTGAATTTTTATGAGTGGATGAAACTGTATTAATCTGGTATATATATATCCTCTATTTACCCAATATTTCCCACAATTTACATGGATATAGATTATTCAGGTTTGGGTATTCGATATAAATTGTGTCCTGATTGCCCTTGTCACCATAATAGATAGTCGTGATCATCATATTGCTATAATGGACCTGGGTAATTATGGTGGTGTCAGTTCTATATGACAGATAAGACAAAAGGTAAGACAGGTATTCAATAACACATTCTGACATTTCTTATAGTTTCTTGTCATTGATAATTCACTATATTCTATTCCAGTTTTTTTTAACAAAAGATAGTACTTCCTATTACTTATCCACCCAAACATATAATTATAGAAAAACCAGTACATAAAGAGGCCATTACGTCATTTTGGCAGTGATTGAAAGGAGCTAGGTGCGGTTATACGACTCCTATTCATAGTGTTATAAGACAGGGTAATGGTCTGTACATGTTATACAACATTCTGGCATTTAATACACAAGGAATATTTAGAATACTTTCTGGTGACTATGTCCTGCACTTTGAATTACAATAAGAGATATTATTTAATATTTCATTTTTCTTTTTAAAAAATTCCAAGGAGAATATACTAAAGAAAACTAAAAAAAAAAAAGTGCGATTTTTCTGGTAACAAATTTTTGCCGTATTCCTTCTTTGAGGATCAACTGTACTTTCTTAACAGAGAAAATACAAATTTAGAAATAAAATCTAATTTATGTTCTTTCAAACAGTGAAGTAGGAAAGGGAAGCCACTCTATGCCTATTGTGTTTTTCTAATAAATTTGGCACATAGGGGTCATTTGTGACCTAATGCCACAGTTAATGAGGTGTTCCACTGTCGTTGGATCAAGTGGACTGGAGATGCTCATTGTAATGATAGGAATACATCACTTAGGCCGGAACTGTTCCCCTGGGAACCGGGTCATAGACATTTCGGTGTGAAGGGTCCAGCTTGAGTAGACGAGTTCAGTGGTGACTGGGTCTTGTCAAGTGTTTAGAATTATCACCTCCTATGTCATTTTTACTAGGTGATTCTGATGGTCAGAAGTGGATGTTGTACAGCTGGAGGGTGGTGCATTATGGCAAAACATTATGCATAAGGGCATTGTTAATTAGGAAGGGATTAGGAAGGGCAGAGTCCAATGTTTTGGATGAAAAAACATTAGTTGGTAGATAAAACTTCTAATAGTATGTAAAGGTCATTATTTTGTACAGACAAATACACTTAGTGTTTACGGTCATTTATATAGGAGGGAAGAAGTCACTGTTTTAGACAGAAATACATTTGATGTCAACGGTTGTTTAAAGGAGAGTAGAGGTCATTTTTTAGACAGAAATATGTCAGATGATGAGGAATGTTTTGTTAGGGGATGGAAGAGGTCATTTTTTTTTGGACAGAAATATGTTGGGTGTATTTAGAAGTTGTGTATTGTATGAGGTTATCTATTAGGAGTGATAGAGGTCATGGTTTTGAACAGAAATTCATTTAATATGTAGAAATCCAGATCAGACATTGGTATTTACAGATAACACTAATCAGGTGTTGTTTACAAAACAATAGAAAAATGATCTACTGAGTAGACATAGAAGATGGTATACATGAGTGACAAATCTGTGATGCATTAAAAATGATGAGGTGTCAGAGTTTCATGTTAATGTGTGCAAATATCTTGTATAATGATTATTCTGACTCCATGTCAAGTCCTTGTGGAAGTAGGGCTCCGAACTGCTGAGGCCAGTATTGTCCTTAGAGCTGGAGGGGTGATGATAACTGTCAGTAACTGTCAGTACCAGGAATGTAGCAGGCCATAGCAAAGTGCTACAACAACAACTCAGAGCCATCATCAGACCACTGGCTCTGTCTGGGGAGGAGAAAGCTTGTATTGTTTACCTGCTTATTCTTGTGCCTGTATGTATGTCTTATATTATGTCTGTCACTGAGTGTCTATCTTTGTTTTCCAAACCGAGGACCATCAATTTGTATGCCCTTGTGCCCGTATTTCTTCGGAGAGGAGCCTGTATTGTGTCTGTCCATTTGTCCTTGTGTCTACAACGTGGAGTCTGCAACATGATTCTGTGTCTGTCTATACATCCTTGTTTCTGTCAATGTGTACTTTTGTTTGCCTGTATGTCCTTGTTTCTGTCAGTATGTACTTCTGTCTGTCTGTCTGTCTATATATACGTATGTCTGTCTATATGTCCTTGTTTCTGTCTTTGTGTACATTTGTTTGTATGTCATTGTTTCTATTAGAATGTACTTACGTCTGTCTGTATGTCCTTGTTTCTGTCTTTGCGTACATTTGTCTGTATTTTTGTCCTTGTTTCCTTTTGCGTATACTGCGTCTGTCTGTATGTCCTCATGCTTGTAAAACCATTTCTATAGTACCAGTGATAGAGAAGTGTTTAGTCTCTATTATAATTCTTGTTTACTCCTTGTTTTCAGGGCCAGATTGAATGTGACACTGAGACTGTGTTTGAGTTAGCAGCCTATGTACTACAGACTAACTATGGAGATTATGTAGAGTAAGTATTAAAACCATACATTTGCATGAATGAATCAATTAATCAAAATTCCAAATAAGTGAATTATGTGAAGAGGAAATAATTGAATTTGACACTCTAGACAAATTTACAGCAAGTAGCAAACATATTGTATCTGTTTCAGAAAGCACCGAAATTTTGTGTAGGAAATCACTTACATATTATATGGATGTAAAATTAAAATTTTATCATACTTTTTTTATTAGATTTTATAAGATATTCAGAATATGTCATTCCAGTAAAACTACAGAGTAAACAACTAAGTGGTATTTTACTGTTGTCTGTGGACTTCAGTAAAGATCCCTAATCAATTATTGATATGTCATATGGATGAAAGTTCTACGTGTTGGATTCTAACATCTCTGGACGAAATGTCAGACAACATAATGGTTTATGTATGGGTATCAGAGGTTGAGGAATGTGTGCTGATTGGTCGGTCTGTGTACATGACATCTGTCACATCTTAGTCTGATCGAGGGCTCTACATTGAAGATGTTATGTTGAAGACATTTGTCTCGGGGTCTTATGGATGAAGTCTGTGTATGCATATATTGTTGTGTCCTACATGGAAATCTGTTTATACTCTACTTTGCTGCCCATATATGCTATACTGTACATCTAGCAGGAGTGAATTTTAAATCTGTAGAATCTTTTATACTTATCAAGAAATAACCATGTATCTATGTTTTGATAGTTTGAAACAATGTCCAGTCATACTCATCTGCCATATGTTACACTGTTTTACCTTTTCAATAAGTGTAATATCTTTTCAATAAGTGTCACATCTTTTCAATAAGTATCACACCATGATGTTCATTTTCACATTTTTAAAAATTTATCCTGATAAACAGAAAAGGTAAAAAAAAAAATAAAGAAATTTATTTTTTAATTTGCAATCTTTGTTAACTATTTATCTTTGTCATGTCGTTGCTGGATTTGGTATATGCAGTGTAAAAACAAACATGTGAACGACCTAGACTTGACTGGATTGGTTATATGCAGTGGAAAAACAAACATGTGAACGACCTAGACTCGGCTGGATTGGTTATATGCAGTGTAAAAACAAACATGTTAACGACCTATACTCTGCTGGATTGGTTATATGCAGTGTAAAAACAAACATGTGAACGAGCTAGATTCAGCTAGGATTCTTTAGGTAGCGTTCACCATGAAACTTCTCATATAAAAAGTATTGAATCAAATAAATATAGATTAAGTGATTGTTAATGCTATTCACAGCTTTTAACTCTGAATGACTCTTGATTGTTATGGATATATATGTTACATGAATTAGTTTAAATGATGATAATTAATGAAAAAAATGATGAAGAGAGCATCAAACTCATTGGAGCGTTGGGAGATGTACTTTGTCTTTTAGATTTTGAAATAATCAGTTTGGATAAAAGACACATTTGGTTTGTGGAAAATCACTGTTTTGCAAGATATAGGTGATTTATTTTAATGTTAGACTTGCATTAGACACAGAGAAAATATTGACAGAAAGCATTGTAAGGTTGAGATCACTGTCACAAGCTTTCATGTAAAGGGCGATCTTTATATGGCCCACATGTTGACGAGTGATGATTCCAGTAGTGTATAAATAACCTCTGGAGCATGAAAAATAAACAAAACACACCAACACTACAAGAATAAACCTCCAAATGTTTAATGGATTTACTCTGGAAAGTAAACAAAAGTTGAAATATACCTAAAAAATAAAATTTATGTAGTAATGTGTGCTAATAAGTGTCACCCTTTTGCACTTAAAATGATTCTAAATCATCCTAATTATCTCTTGATGGCCAGGAAGAATTGTGGCAGGTACATTTAGTATATTTTCTGTGATGTGTACAGACATCAAATAGATGTATGTCGGTATGTTACATTATCCCCATATAAATTTTCACTCATGTGTCTGTGATGTGATGGGACACTTAATATGTGTATCATTTGTATATCTAGTCTCATGTTAAAACCATGCTAAGAATGTATGAGGGCGAGGACAGAGGTTACTTTACAGATCAGGTTGGTGTTGTCTGGTGGGGGTCAGGACTCTTGACACAATAGTAATTTGTCTCATTTTACTAGAATCAGGAGTTTTCCTCATTTTGTCTGAGTATATACACTATATCCCAGTTGTTATATGTCGCTACTGTAAAAACAAACAGTAGCAAACACGCTGTTAGGATTGTTAGCTTCAAATCATTCTAATGTATCAGTTTATGTTTCATATTGTTGTTTTCCTCTTTTTCACCTTTATTGCATTTTAAAAAAGTTACAATCATCATAAACAATTTTAACACTTCAAAATATTTATAAAAAAAAAATAGAAATATGAACCCATCATCAGACCATTAAAAACAAGATCTGGATAACCTAACTTTTGTACCCCAGAATTTTTTCTTTCGTGAAAAGAAATCCTGGAGTTGAAAAAAATAGTATCAATTAATAAGAAGATACATTTTTTGACAAAGATATGAAATTTTCTACAAATTGTAATTTTTATGTCCTTAATACCACATAATTAATCAATTTTGTCTCTCAGGTATACTTTAGAGGTGAAGAGTCCATTGTCCTGTAAGATATATGTATCTCTTCTATGGATATATATCCTTTAGAGGAAAAGTGTTTAAGGAAGTGGTAGGGAGGGATGTAAGACCTGTCTTGTGGTGATGTGGTAGGGAGGGATGTATGACCTGTCTTGTGGTGATGTGGTAGGGAGGGATGTATGACCTGTCTTGTGGTGATGTGGTAGGGAGGGATGTATGACCTGTCTTGTGGTGATGTGGTAGGGAGGGATGTATGACCTGTCTTGTGGTGATGTGGTAGGGAGGGATGACCTGTCTTTTGGTGATGTGGTAGGGAGGGATGTATGACCTGTCTTGTGGTGATGTGGTAGGGAGGGATGTATGACCTGTCTTGTGGTGATGTGGTAGGGAGGGATGTATGACCTGTCTTGTGGTGATGTGGTAGAGAAGGATATATGAATGGCAAGCTTTATATTTTTGGGTCTTGAGTGATGAATTGACGAGGAGGAATGTATGGGTGACTAGCCCTCTGATGTATAATTCTGCCAATGTTTCTGACGCCTTTGGACCTTATCCTAAACACCACACTGCATTTTATGGTAAAGTTGATACATTGTCACCATATTAAGACGAGTGAAGTGGAAAGATACCTCAAAATTTCTTGTCAGGGTGTGACCATTGAGGTGGCAAGACACTCGGCACTATTCTATTGTAAGGATATACAAGGAACAAGGAGGTATTGCTTTCGCAGAGGCACCCTAGAATTAATGATACGTTGATTCAAACATTGGAGTATTCTGAAACAGCCTATAGACTACTGTGTGTTGCAGGAGACAAGAGCTCATTGGCGACAGCAGACACACGGAGAGCTGTATTGAATGTTAGCCACTGTAACAGTTGTCTTGTTTTCACTTGCAGTGATGCCACCACGCGGGATGACCTTAGAAAACTGCCTGTGATACCTACCAGTGCCTTGAAGGAGCACCCTTCCATAGCATACTGGTAAGTACCTCTAAATACTGTACACTGGTATAATGTTGAGTGAGGAGAGAGCCAGCACCCTCTGGCCACGGATCTAGTTCTGTGACATCGTGATTAACAATGCTTCTGCTGTTATTAATGAAATTGATTTGGATTCAAGGGTTTTGTTTGTTACGTTATACCAGAAGGCTGTTAAATATTTACAAATTCTGATAGATTGTGCTGGTTGCTCGGGCAAAAATCAATCTCCAAATGTCATCTTTTTGAAAATCAAAAGATGCATAAATAGATTAGAAAATGTCAAAAAAAAAATTCAATATTTTATTTTTATCTTTTTTTTTTTCCCTATTTTTTCATTATGGCAATGATTAATGAGTCCTCATGTATTTCCATGGAAATATATTGATTTTGTCCCCGGCTGCCATTCTGTTTTTTACAATGATCTGTTAACTTTGATTTCTAGTGTCTTAGTCTCTGGTCAATGGTCCTGTCGGAGACGATTACATAATCTGCCCTTAGATTCTCTGTTGGCCACTAATTTGTCATGGTGATATTGATGATGTTGAAGTATAAAAGGATTTGTTTTAATGTTTGACGAGGTACTGGGTTTTCTGTTGATGTTGGTATAAGACTGGCTTTGTTGGAATAAAGCATTGTTGATCAATGGTTCTTTTGTATTATAGAGGTTATATAAAATCATAAAAGTACATCTTTGAAATATGCATGGATAATTTCTTAGTGTCACAAACACTATTATTAAATATATATAAATGTTACTGAATATACTGCTGTGGATAAAATAGACTGAAATATTTTTCTATATAGTTCACTAAATATACTGCTGTGGACAAAATGGACTGAAATATTTTTATATAGTACACTGAACATACTGCTGTGGACAAAATGGACTGAAATATTTTTATATAGTACACTGAACATATATTTTTATATAGTACACTGAATTTACTGCTGTGGACAAAATGGACTGAAATATTTTTATATAGTACACTGAATATACTGCTGTGGACAAAAATGGACTGAAATATTTTTGATATTACACTGAATTTTCAGATATTAAGTCTGTTTAGTGTGTGATGTAATGCATTGATTGAAAGTTGATCTGATGTCATGTGATGAAATTGTCTAGTCCTTTGTCTGAGGAGAGACTGATTGTTGCTCTGCTTCAAACGTCGTCTAATTAAGTTTTAATCATTGTGTATGAATCACTGATGAGGATCACCAATATAGCAGTGCCTTATCTGTGTTTCCTATCGCCACAGAATTTTGTGATGAAATATTCCATTATACTAAGAGTAAAAATATGACAAGACAGGTACTCGATTGATATATAATACAACTTGTAGTTATTCTGGTGACACGTGACGTCATAGAACTAAGCAGGTAAAAAATCAATGATAACACATATCATTGTTAAAAGTCATATCTTCATTTCATCATTAGGTGGTGGGCTTTTCAAATCACCCTTTCTCTGCTGTCTGTGATCATCTGTTTATCCTTGTTATCACTAAGTACCTGGATCTTCATCAGATTCCAAATATAGGTTTCCATTGGTTCTTAGTTATGGATTGTCCCAACCTTGAACTGATTTTAAAAAACAAATGGCCACCTGGCATCCATCTTGGAATTTTACAGTAATAGCTTGCTTTTTCATAAGAAGTACTGGATGGATCAATCACCTTAATTTATTTTGAGATTGATTGGAAAAAAACAATATGGCTGACAGGCTGCCATCTTGGTTTTTGACTGTATAAAGTTATCATTATTTCAGAAGAAGTACAGGATCAATCTTTCCCTAATTTTACATGTAGATTCCCTTTTGTCCCTTGTTGTGCCATTTTGATTATTGGATTAATTACAAGAACAAATGGCTGACAGCAGTCATCTTGGATTTTACCTATAGAAGTTTGTTATCTCTATTTCTCGGGAGATACTGGCTCATATTACAATATTGTATGTAGGACCTTATATTTAATAGCTGTTAGGGTGGTGACACAAGTCCAGTATCAGCTGTTGTATCACATTGGTTTCTGGTTAATTGTGTAGTGATAATCATTGTTTTTGCCACAATTTATGTGTGTAAGTTGATGAGGCTGTCCTATGGAGTGAATGCATTTAAGTGTTGTTAAATATTAATTCAGTTCGTCAGCGATCTTAAGATCTTGTAATGTTGACTGATAAGAGTAATTTGTCCAGCTGTCTACAGCTTTCTCTCCACGACTAGCAGTCATTAAGCAAACACTTAATGCAATCTTACTGGCCATCTCAACCAGACCTAATGTTATGTAAGTTTTGCTTGAATCTTAAACAGTCTGTGGCAGTCATGAAATAGTCTTTAGATATACTGTGTTTCTAATTACCGTCTAGAATTCTTGTAAACAGCAGTAATAAATATAACAGCAACAACAATGCATTCCAATCATATTGGAGGAAGCGCAGTACAATTAAATTGCACCATTTGCTCGTTGGTACTAAACATCAGAGAGTATGGTGCGTGTGCAGACAGGGATGGTTATACAAACCAGACGAAAACTCGTACAGCAGCCAGGAAGTAGCCATCACCGAACACTTAACAGTCTGCAGGAAATGAATAAAAATTGTAAAATTTTGTTTTCATTTGGTCTTCTATAAGTTTTGTATGAATTACAATGTAACATTGCTGATTGGATGTTCCTATAATGTTGTATTCATTTTATCTTGATTTTGGTTTTTTGGAAAATATCAGGAAGATGGTTGATAAAAAGTGACTGAAACTACTAATAGATTTGGAGACATGAGTTTGTCTGCATTTGTCTCCATCATGGAGTAATTGTGTTAACAATATAGGTTTCTCCCTGTCTATGGAAGATATTGGACGGTATTCTAAACGACATGCAAGTAAATGGTCTATACTTATCACATATACTGTGCACTTCTATTTCTCATCGGTTATTAATATAGGCAAGGCAAGGCAAAACAGTGAAGGAAACACTTTCTTTCCCATTGGAAAGAATTTTATTATGTTATCGGAGACTGCATAGTAAAAACGACATTCCATGAGAAAATGCTGTAAATTGCATAACACTGTTGTCATAGTTGAGGTGCATTTTTCCTTAATCATTCTAATTAAGGATTGGAGGAAAATAAAACTTTCTGAAAACTTTGAGAGCAAGAAATCTCATGTTCTCTCATAAGATTCTTGAATGTTGGAGTTCCAATATCTAGGTTTAGATAATTGGACAAGCTTATACCTGTTTCTTTGTTGTGATTTGAGGTAGGGGAAATCTAGTTTATCTATCTGCCTCGCTGGACAAAGTGTATTTGGAAACTTTTTTCTACATATAATATTTGCAAAGCTTGGCAGGAGCAAACACCTGCAGTTCAGAATGGTCAGAAACAATTTCTGTCTGTCTCCATGGATATGGAACAAAGCTAATTCTATCTAGTAACAAAATCTTCAATAAACTTGATTGAATGCATTACGACGATGGCGCATTCCTCTAGACTGTCCATGGAACTACACCCACCAATAACTTTCTCAACAGATTATCCTACTGTTACATAACATTGATTATTTTCTAGCCTTATGCTGGTTCACAAGGTAATGCAAGGTAATTGGGTTTTGTGCCCTGTTTGATCAATCCAGTCAGGTTCCATCGAATTTCCCAAGGAGTTATCGGGGTAAAAACTATCATGTATTACAGGCTTTCTGATAAATCTGCTCTTTCTACTACAGAGTCAATAGCTCGCTATCTCCAAGACAGAGACCAGTTTTGATGGACTTAGCTTGTCCAAAAGATTCCCATATTTGAGATGTAACATTCTTTGGTATTCTATGGACTGTAGTAAAGATATGAAAACTTCAAAAATCATGTTTACATGCACACATAGAAAGGTTTTTTCTTTTGACAACTATTGACAAGGGAATTAGTTTGAGAATTTTCTCAAGATTTCCACAAGTGTGAGGCGATAACAAGAGTAGGTGATGTATACAGGTTCCCAGAGGTCTTAGTCACGGCTGTGTTAAAAGTAGTTGTAAGTGGGGCAGAAACAGGTACAGCATGCATTAAATGGATGCAACCAGCATCCTCCATCTTGGCTATGAGCTGTCATCTACTGCTCAACCTTGTCACCAATTGTCATGGGGACATGAGGCACCAACATGTCTGTTATATCCCGCCCAACTGTCTCTACTACTTCACACAGAATTGTCTCCTCTTTTCCAAGTGGTGTGTCTTCCCTGATTTCTTGGCGTCAGATGTAAGTGCTTTGCTGGTGCAGAGAAGGTGCCTTTCACAGCTCTGATATGCCCAGTCGAAGTTTAAGTCGAGAACAAGACATTTTATTCTGTAGATTTTAGTGGCCAAGAAAGTGCTAGTGCCAGGGAGTTGAGGAACTAAGCTGAAAATAAAACTGTGGATAAACTGTTACACTGTGGTAGTAGTCTGTCTTATTTGTGGTTTAAGTGTTATTCAATAAGTAATTTACACTGAATTGTATTGAAAAATATAACTCACTGAATTATCAATATCAGTGGAAAGTTTTAAAAATCTGTATAATCCTGGTGTTTATAATCCTCCATCCTATCAATTCCACCTGAAAAACCTCCAAGGAATTCTTCAAGTAATGATTCGCTGTTAAAATTCCAATTACATCCGGTTTCAAGTGACAAATCCGTTATGAAAAAGTAAATAAATATTTCCTCAGAACACAGTGTTGACTAGGATCTGACCACTGTCTAACCACTGGGGGTCTAGCAGGCATTGCTGGTCAACTGATTAAGGGCAGAGATAGGACTGGACTGGTGTTTGGCCCTCGTTAATCAATCTCCCCAGGTGTTGTTACAGATTATGTATTTGTATTACATGGCCCTGGTGAATGTTTTGTCTGGCCTTCAGGCTGGGTGTCTGGAACATTTTACTGACGGTCAGAAGTGTAGCCATTGTAGATAGTTTGGTGTTTTTTCTTCTGGTCAGATGATCAGGTAATGGAATGGTTGACTTATCTTGGATATATTGCTCTAA